GTGTGTGTGTGTTCACATTATTTTACATGGCCTACAAAATCGCGGCCAAGACCGACAGGGGTGCAAATTTCCACAAACTCAAAAAACTTTTAAGCCCTCTGCTTATGCGAGAGCTGGGAAAGAAGATCTGGATCTTTGCTGCTGTCAGTTTGAACTCTGGAGCCCCTTCAAGGACAACTTGTCGTTCCCCTCAGTACAACCCATCCGGCACAATAATTATCACAATTTCTTTTTATCTCAGATTTTGAATATTTTGTAAACATAACTTCTTTTTGCCTCTAATTCAGACAGGTACAGATATAACTTATAACCGTTTATTTATGCTGTCCCACATGTTCTATTTCGAGTTCTGTAGAAAACGGTATTCCAAAGACTACCTAGCATCTGGCCGAACTAGTGACTACTAATTCAAGACGGAATCCTCCTTAACGTTGGGACCCGGTTTCCAGCAGGTGATGCTCCCCACCAGTGGCAAGGTGTTGCTAGATAGGGGTGCCCACATCACCCCCTGTAGCAGCCTCACACGTTTTTTTTTCGGGGGGGGCTTCCTCCGAGCCTCGATTTGCTGACACTGAGAAGAACTGCGCTTTGCCGAAGCGCCAGTGAGACGTCTTTTTCTTTTCTTTGGCTGGCGTAGCCAGCCGCCAGCCATTTTTGTTCCAGTAGCACTCTTCACCCGAAGAGTGCGGTTCATGGTATGTTGGTGTTCCCAGTTTGCCTGTGAAAGGTAGCGGTGGTTTAAAACTGTCACATCAATGGAGTTCCATTACGGGGGTCCAACCCCCAGTACTACTTGAGAGGTAGGATGAGGAGGAGAATAAGGCGAAGAAGAATGGCAAGCAGTGGCCACTTGCTCTGCACACGGACGTCACATAGGATTACAGCGTACTTCAGAAGGGTGCAGAGTATGGAGCATTGTGGATTGTCTCGTCGCTGTCTACTGAATGCGGTCTTAGGAACCGTCACTGAAGTTCCATTAGCAGTGCAAGAGAGGGGTGTCACTGAAGTTCCATTATGGGGGGCTCAAAGCAAAGCAAGAGAGGGGTGTCACTGAAGTTCCATTATGGGGGGCTAAAAGCAGTGCAAGAGAGGGGTGTCACTGAAGTTCCATTATGGGAGGCTAAAAGCACTGCAAGAGAGGGGTGTGAGTGAAGCTCCACTGTGGAGGGCTAAAAGCAGTGCAAGAGAGGGGTGTGGACGATGGAGGAGGGAGTATATGCCCAGGAGGGAGGGGAGAACAGGTGAAACTTGAGGGAGGACAAAAGGCTGGAGGGTGGATGACCCAGGAAGAGGAGGACGAAGAGAGAGAAAAGACTCGTGAAATATATATACCGTCAAACAGCACTGCCGGGGTAAACCGTAGGCAGAGAGGTTTGAAAAAGACAAAAAAATGAGGGGCTGTGACAGACTGTTTCGTCGAAGTTTCACCGACACATCACGAAACTGAATATATATATTTATATATATCACCGAACAGAGCTGCCCGGTAAACCGTAGGCAGAGAGAAAGAAGAGGACAACAAACGAGGGGCTGTGACAAACTATTTCGCCGGAGTTTCACCGACTGACTCATCAGGAGGAGGCTGAACCCTCAACAGTCCGCAGAATCCCCTAACTGATTACACTGTAGACAAAACAAAAAAAAAGGAAAGAAGGAAGGGAAGCTCCGCCTGTTCATCACCTCTTACGTGCAAGGCCAGGCACGTGGATGACATGTTGAGCGCTGGCTGCCCCCATCCCAGTGTGTCACAAGGACCCACTTGCACGCAGCCAAAAGGCAAAAAAGAGGAGGTAAAGAAAAGGAGGAGGAAACCAAACCTCACAGAGGCAAGAGAAAGAGAAAGGGATCCAGTAAAAGAAAGCACAAGGGAAGAGGAAGGCCTATCGGTCAAACAAAGCAAATGACACATCCCACAGATAAACCAGTTGTCACTGTCACAACAAAGTTCAACATTTTTTTTTTCTTTATCTTTTTCATTTTCTTTTTCTTTCCTTCAGCAATTTGTTTTTTTTTTTTCTTTTCTTCTTTTTTCTTTTAGTTTTTTCAATTTTTTTCGTTCTTCTTTCTTCAACTCCCTATCTGTTGGTAGTGTCAAACACTTTATCTGTCCTACAATTAGTGTTGCTCCTGACCTGCTTCTTGATTCTATTGACCAGTCAGGGAGAGGAGCCCCCACCCCGGCAGATAGGACAGGCACACTGAGGATGACGTGGATGATCACAAGGATACCCAAGGAGAGCTGCGCCAGCACAGCATTCAGCAGGACGGCTAGCTAGCACGGACCATCCCATTAAAACAGTCCTGACAAAGGACATGCCGTCCACATGTCAAAAAAATAGCAAGGACGTTCATCACAGTGCGGCATCATGCAGTCTAGCGTCCTTGCGCACAAAAGGGACAACGAATAACTGGGTGATAGGGATGTGTACAATGAGGAAATGTTGGACACCCTTCGGCACAGACGGCGGCGGCCACAATAGATTGATAATGGTCATGGCATAGATGATATATCGTCACAAAGATACCAGAGCGGGCGCAAAAGAAAAAAAAACAAAAGGAAACAAGAAAGATATTGATTCATTTTTTATCTTCTAACTTACAACTCCCCCTGTTGAGAACCTCTTGCGTACAAGGCCGCCCACGTGGATATATATATAGAGAGAGAGACGATATATATATCATGTATATCGTCACAAACAGAACTGCCCGGTAAACCGTAGGCAGAGAGAGAGAAGAGGACAACAAACGAGGGGCTGTGACAAACTGTTTCGTCGGAGTTTCATATATATATCGTCAAATAGAACTGCCCGGTAAACCGTAGGCAGAGAGGGAGAAGAGGACAACAAACGAGGGGCTGTGACAAACTGTTTCGTCGGAGTTTCACCGACTCATCAGGAGGCTGAACCCTCAACA